GCATACTTGGCCCACTTCTGTTCAATGCGTACATAAATGACATCGTCAACATTTGTCAACACTCACGTTTTATAATGTATGCAGATGATTCTAGTATTTTTATTTCTGCGACGAATATCGATGAACTGATTATTAAAGGTAATGTTATCTTAGAAAAGTTTCTCTTATGGTCAGAAAAAAATGGCCTCGAAATAAATACAACCAAAACAAAAGCGATTGATTTTAGACCTGTAAATAAACATATTGATGCTAGTTATGCTCTTAAGATTGGAAGCAAGGAAATTGAAATAGTAAGTCATCATAAAACGCTAGGCATAATTTTTTCAGAGTTTATGCAATGGATCATCATATAGAATTTCTAACTCACAAACTGGCAAAGGTAGCTGGCATCATCGGTCACTGTCGCTCTCTTTTGCCTACAAAAGTTAAGATTCAAATTTATCATGCTCTGTTCGGCTCACAAATCAACTACTGCCATTTAGTTTGGGGCACAACGACCAAAAGTAACGTCAACAAACTAATAACTCTTCAGAAAAAAATTATTCGTTTCATTGCTAATGTTCCGTACGACACACATGCTGAACCATTATATTTGAGCTACAATATCATGAAAGTTTCTTGTATTTATGACTATCGCTTGCTCTTTTCTTACGCCTTTTCAACTTTGGAGTTTATTGCTTTTTTGTCACAGCTAGCAAACCTGACTGAGCGTGAATCAGTCTTCGACGTTTGTCGTAGAGAATTCTGGAAGGTTCCCCATTTCCGTACAAATTATGCACTGCAGTCGCTTGCTCATAATCTACCTACATTGCTTAACAACATTGTAATGAACCGCATCGATATTCATTGTATAACTAAGAAAACATTACGTACTTTTTTGTGTTGTTAAATTAAGAAACAAAATGTTCTCTAATGTCGGTGATTTAAAAATTTGTATTGGAACATTTTAAATTGTTTGATTTGAATATTGTAAGAAATATTTAGGATTGTTTAAATATGATTGTGTTCCCCGTACATGCAAGGGCACCGGACCCAGTCAAGCTAGCTTCTGTTAGCTTTTTGTCCGGTGTCCTCGGCATAATGTTGGTGAAATAAAGTTCAAAGTTCAAAGTTCACGTTCAGAGGCATTACTTATAAGTGTACTAGTTTTCGCAGTCTCTGCTTCAAAAGCGTTGGTATCGGAAGCAGTAACAACTACGAAATCATCTACGTATCTAAAACTTCCTTTACTTTGGACCCCTGAAACCGGCTGCTCAGAGTGCTATCAAGTTGTGCTAAAATATATCGCTGAAGACTGGCGCGATGCACTACCCGATACATATGCCCTGTGTTTGGAAGTAATGCTTGCCATCATAGTGAATAAAAGTTTCCAAAGATAACAAACTGAAGAATTCTAAAAAGCCACTTCTAGAAATCATCGATTTATTTTGAAAGGCTACAACTCAGTGCATTGACAAGTTTGGCGTGGTAGCCTTTCAAAATATGTGGGGTTTTTTTAGCAGTGGTTTTCCAGAAGTACTCAAATATATTGTATAATTGAGTTTTTACGACTCCTTGCTCCTTTAAGCAACCGAAAAATGGTGGCCCAGACGCACGGTGTAAGATACATTTAGGTGATGTCTCCCTGCCCGCCGCAGCGACCACATTATGCTCGACGCACAAAGCGTTTCACTCGCGCTGAGATAACTGGCGCCCAAGTATGAAAGCTCTCCCAAACCGACCGCTCCGGTTGTTGCTACTAGCGGCGGTCCCGCCCCGCCCCCGCCCCCGCCCCCGCCCCAGTCCCTCGCTTACCACTTCTTGTTGTACTTCACCGCCGCCACGCCGCCACCAAGTCGCAAGAGCCCGTAAATCTGTGTTCTCTTCCTTCTTTGTTTTCTTCGGGTTAAGGCTCACCTTTGTGCGCGATGGTGGCACCTGTTATCGACACAGCACCAAAGCAAAACGCAAGGCCAGCCACTGGCAGCACACCACCAGCACACAATGAAAAAGGTGAGCACTCTACGCCGCCGACACCGTAGTCCCCGAGGAGGGACCTCATACCCACGATGATTATACCCCAGCGCTCTCCGCGGCGGCGCGGAATTAACTACTCCTTGTTCGACGCTAGCACCAAATACGATCGGGTCACTCCCTCTTCGGGAGAAGACCGGCAAGAGTCATCGCTTAAATGTATTTCTTCCACCGTGCCCGGACGTGATATGAACACGCCAGCTTCTTTTTGATGAAACATTTTTATGTACGCTCTCGAGAACCTCTCGCAAGATTCAAGCGCAAGAACGAACTAACTTGGACAGAACCAGCCATTGCAGAATTTTCGGCCATCAAAAAGGCACTCTCAACAGCAACGCTGTTCACTCACTCTGACATTTATCATGGCTAGCGCATTCGAGACCGCAGCAGGTGAAGTTTTACTAGAGTTAGAAGACGAACAAGGGCGTCCAGTGTCGTTCTTCTAAAAACTATTTTTGCCAGCAGAAACAAGATATAGTACATTCGGTAGAGAGCTACTTGGACTGCTTCTTGCTCTAGAACACTTCTGCCAGTTCCAGGCAGGTTGACAATTTTGTATTTGGACGAATTACATGCTTTTTAAGATACGGGTTTCAATCTAACAACTTCAACCATACCTCATGAGAGTTACGTCATATTTCCTACGTGTCCGAAGTTACAACAAACATAAAATTCGTATCAGGCAAAGACAACCCCGTCACCGATGCGTTAGCTCGAATGCACATAAACGAGATCTCTTCAACTTGACAAGTAGTAGACTTTGCAGTTCTCGCTCGAGCCAAAGAGGCGAACTGTGCATATCTAAAACATCCCTCACCCTTTAAGACGGCAACGTTCCTGACAGCAACAGAACCATCGTTTGCGACGTTTCTGCGGGCACACGGCGACCGTACATTCTACGGAAATCTCACAGACTATGTTTCACGCACTGCATACGCGGACACATGCTTGTACACGCGCTACCCAGCGTTTAGTCACACTACGCTGTGTGTGACCGGGCATCAACGCAGGTGTGAGGCGTCGGTCACAATCGTGCCCTCAGTGTGAAAAATTGAAGGTTCATCAAAACAAGATCACACCTCCCAGCATTTTTCATCAACCTTACAATCGCTTGAGCTATGCACATCAGGACATCGTGGGACCATAACCATCATTGCAGGGTTTCCAGCAGTGGCGTAGCTAGGAATGTTTTACGGGGGGAGCGTCCAGTGAGCGAAAAAGACGCCGGAGACGTCGCCTCTGTGCCCCTGCTTTCTCAACGGCGGTGGAGGTTCATTCCGCACGTTCGTGGTTTTTTTCGCTAAGCGTGCTACTGACAATGTGTATGTGTCCGCGGGGTGCACCCGCGGCGACTGCATCAGAGACGATATCGCGACTGCGCCCATGATTTATTCTCAACGGCGGCGGATGTTGGTGCGCGTTCGTCGTTTTCGCTAAACGTGCTACTGACAGTGTGTGTGTGTGTCCTTCTGGTGCACCTGCTCGGTTTTATTTGTTGAACTACCGTACATCTAGGAATATAAGCAGCGACATCGTGAGTACTTAGAGAGAATTTTTTTGCGGCAAAGAACTCAGTTGTTCCAATTTGGTCTGATGGTTTTTGTCTGCAGCTGTGCAAATTGTTTCACTGGTATCGACCCTGTGAAATAAAGACATGGATCTTTTAAGCCTATATGAACTAGCCGCAGTTTATTTTGTTACCGAATCGTCCAGCATCTGGTGAACGTACACCACCCACAGTTCACAGGCTTCTTCCTGTATGCCTTCCATTGGCGTACGCAAAAAAAAAAAAAAAAAAAAACACGGTAAGTTACGGGTAATCACAGCAAATCCAGTGATTTTCTGGTAAATTCTGGCTTTACTAGAAGGGAAGAGAGCCCCATTATAATTTTTTACTTGAAATAAAATTCCTTTAAAAATCTCTTTCATTAGGGAGTTCTGACATTATACCATATTTCTTAGCCTGAAAAATTCACCACGCGTAGATCAAGACGAATATGAACTCGGGCCTATTCGCACAAAGCAGAAAACTAATGAGGATGATAAGACTGGTATTGGTAATACAGAATACATGTCATACAAAGAGTCAAGCGCAATACATATGAGAAAGCAAAATACTTTTAACGCCTTGCTGAATCAACGTGACACTGGGGTAGAGAAGACACATCAAACGTAGATGACACAGAAAATTTGAGACGTCGTCCTGTCTATTTTCTGTCTCGTCTCCGTTTTTCTCTTTGTCCTCAACCCTACACCTGCACCCCCTGCATCCTTACCATATTTTCTCTTTTAACGCAGTTCCGCAGATATGAAAGAGTGAACTAAGAAGTGTGATGCCGGTGGTGACAATGTGCAATACATATTGGTCTCAACTTTCAGCGAAAATTGACACGGATTGAAAATGTTTGGTAAGCGTCGTGACGCCATTACTTTGCATGCTCTTATTTTTGTGCCAGTCACCCCGGGTCGGCTGAAAACGGGCAGCAGTCCCGGTGTTTCTGAAAGGACCACGGCCAGCCGTGGGCAGGTGAGAAAGCCTCCGCAAGCCGGATGTGGCCAGCGGACCGTGTTTTCAAAACCCCTGAATTAAACCGTTATACCAAAGAAGGCGTGAGTATACGTCAACTTTGGGTTCAAAGCAATGGTAACATAATTCCTAAACCCCTCTGACATTTCAAGACGGAAAAGTTTGATGCCGGGATTAAAATAACACAATACATTTACAAAGGTGACTTTCAGTTGTTTACAAGTGGGCGGTAATACCAGAATCTGAAAACGGATTTGCGCTGCATCAAAACAACTTCATAGTTCAAATGTCATCACACGAGCGCTTTGTATCTGAGGATGAACGGAAGAAACTCTTGCCTCAGCATAAGGGCATTTAGCTCACATTTAAGCGCATTTAACACGTACACGCAGCACTTGTGTTTTTTCCCAGTTTGGAAGAAAACAAACAGCCTAGGAGATCCTTGCAGATATTGGGAGCAATGAATTCACTCTTTCTCGTCTTCGTATATACCGTTGCCTTGCTATACGGTAAGTGAGCAAAACGCCATTAATTAGCGAAGTAATATATGTTTACCATTCAAGCAGAAACCATTGGCGACAAGACATGTATTTATGACCTTTGCGCTGTCTCTCTCAGCATGTGCGTAGAGATCGCGCACATGTCTTTTATTCCTTGATTACATAGTCTAATGCGCAGTCACTCAGTTACAACTAAGCTTAGTATTTCTCATGTTGGTGCCTTCGTTGCTTGTCGCGGGGCGTCTATTCACTTTAACTTGTTCAAAAAGTAAGTCGCGATTAAAGCTTGATCAAATATATCTTTGTTTCTGTTCATTGTCCCCTTCAAAAAGTTGTCTTGCAACTGAGCCGAGTGATATTGATTTCTACAACAATATATGTGAGAAATGGTCGTATAAAAGTAAAGAAATACAAGTTTATAAGCGTGTGTGAGAAAACTCTTGCAAGACAACTGCATTTCGAAAAGGACAGTCAGCCATTAAAAAGGATCATGAACATCCCTGTCTTTTTACCAATAAAACAATCCTCCTCAGAGGCTCCGATACAAATTGACGTGCCTAGGAATATCTAGTTGCCTTTGGCCACCCTTTAGAATTACTTATAGCCCCTTCCACTGGCAAATAGCGAGCGCTCGGCGCGCGCTCGCCGAGCGGATTCTTGTTTCCCACGCGAGATGAGAGCAATCTCTCCGTGTGTCGCTTGTAGATCTGAAGCCAGTGGGGCGCTCGCCGAGCGGCTCCAACCGCTCCGTGGAAAAGTGTAGGAGCGCGTCGAGCGGTCCGGAGTAGTTCTCCGCGCAGCCTTTTTCGGAGGAGCACGATCTGCAGTCGTCTGTTGCAACCTTTCAGTTTCGTTATCGACATTCTCGCGGGGGAGTGAAGGAGTTTCGCGACTTTTTTGTTTCGACTGCTAGGTGGGCTCTCTTGGTGTGTTTGCTTTCGTTCCCCTCCTCATGACCGACTGGCCCGAGCATACTGCGACGATGACATCATTGCAGTTAATTTCAGGAGGTCTAATAAAACGCAGTAGCAGCGACGAAGATACCAGCTTAGCTCCAGCTCGAGTGACGACGAGGCAGCCGTTCTCGGCGAAGTGTTTGCAAAGTCATTTGGATGGTCAGGGAAGAGGCCCAAGATAACGCGTTACGTCGAAGGCGTTGTGCGCGCCTATTCGGATGAAGAGCTACGTATGTCGTTTGCTTGTTTTGTGGGCTCTGTAATGTATTTGGAATAATTAGAAGACAATACCCCAAATACTCCGCAGATGGAAGTCGCCTTCGGAGATGACGATCGCTTTACGGCATACGTGTTTGGTATCGCTTAATAGCATCCTACGGCTCGTACAAGTACTTCTAGTTGTCTTCATCGGGCTTATATAACTGTAAGGAAACATAAATTGTGTCTTAACGTCGAGGTCACCATTAATCAAGTAGTAAACAAACAATTTTTTGTTAAAGCATAGAGTTCCGGTCAGAACTTCATGCTTTCAGCAAGATAGCAATGGGAACCGCAACTGTTCAAAAGCGAGAGCAGACGCTCTGGAAGCGGTGGCGCTGGGATCGTTACGCTCGATTTCCTCCGCAGCCCGTGCCACTGGGACGGATCACGTGACCGATCGCTCACGGAGGCCGACCGCTCGACGACCGCTAGCGCGGAGCGCTCGGCATTTGCCAGGGGAAGGGGATATTAGACTTGAAATAAACAAATATTTATATTTTTGATAGAACGTTGAACGGCGCTGTAAATATCCCTGTGTTTTAAATTAAGCCTCATCAGCATATATTTTCACTGAAGAGCGCCGGGACTTTTTATACCACTTTAAAAACGTAATTTCTACGTTTAGCCTGGAATAGTGTTTTGCACAAAACAGCAGATTATTAGTTTGTGCATAAAAATTTAGGCTTGATATTTTTGGTACACGTGAAAACTAGCAGAGTACATTCCTTTAATACAAAAGAGTTTTGGTTGTTTCAGTCGTTCATGTCCAGGTCTAGTAGTCACTTTCGTGGTGTTAGAACTAAAAGTTCCCTCACTCCCGTGGAGATTATGGTTTGCTAGTAAGTAAGGCTCATGGCTTTCCGTTGCCTTATCTCCGTCCGTACAGATCTTCAGTGAGCATAGTGAATGTATATTGAAGATGACGCTATAATCATTCGGTTCGACAGTTGGTTAGACTACATTGGTTGGAGGTGAATGCTAACATTTGAACTGTTAGATTCGCTCCTAACTATCTGCCGTTAACCCTTAATAATAGTCCTTCTTACCCACATCAGTATATTAAAATCTCGCCCCTTGCACTGGTCGAGCCAATAAAACGCGACACGGCAGAAATTTCTTCATCTTTATTTCTCGTACAGCTGTATTGCACTCATCAGAAATATGTGTTTGGGGAATCTTTTCCTTCCCGGTACCGCCTTGACGAGTGTTACGTACTACCCAACGTCCGCAAAATTCTCTGATGCATTTTATTATAGATTTGGCCAGGTTAATTAGAGGGTACTCTTAGAAAAAAGGTCGTACTATTTACTAACTTGGTTAGTTACTCTTGTCGCATATTTTGCTAACTTCTTACCAACTACAGCGTGTAACAGGTGTGTTCTTAACAGTTAACACTTAAAACTTTCATAAAGGTGTCGTATTATTTACTAACTTTTGGTTAGTTACTCTTGTCGCATATGTTACTAACTTCTTACCAACTAGAGCATGTAACAGGTGTGTTCTTAACAGTTAATACTTAGACATTTAACAAAGGTAACTAGTCTCATCAGCAAGATCGTGCAGAAACCACTACATTGGTTTAGAGGTGAATGCTAACTGCTGTAAGAGATCTAGTTCCCATTTAGCAGAAGAAGCTAGGGGGAGCTAGCTATAGCTACATTCAGAGGCTACAAGAATTATTTGCATTGCTCGCGCGGATATAATTGCACCGTCTACAGTTTATTTGCACAAACATTACGCACGCCATAAATCGGCTGAACGCACCACATACAGGGATCACGTAAACAAACGCAGCACGCGACAACACGTATCTAAACCCACGCTACACCGATCACTTGCTGCGTCGTTTGCTATTCTTCTTTTATACCCGTCTTTCTCAAAGCACGCCTTTTCTCCGGTGACAACCTTGCCAATAAATAATTTACATACAACCTGCCTTTTTGTCGCTAATATCGTATCTCGACATTGAATATTAATGGTATAAGGGATTAATCTCTTAGTAAACATACCGTTCACGCTGTAAATATTTGCTCCACTCGATATTACTACCTGCTCCTCTGAGGCTGACAGCCCATGTTTCCGCCTCTATGTATATTTGTTTCTACAGCGACCTATAGGAGATTCAAATATCGGACAAATATAGCGGTTTAGAACAGATCATGCAGTACCATGTGCCAGCTCAACGCGCAACGCTGCGGTATCATCAAGCACCCATTTGACTCAAAATGGCTAGCCGCGATTGTTATCTTCAAAGTTACGAATCTGCTGCGATGTGCTGGCGTAACCGAGTTTTCAGAGGCTTGACTTTCTTCGAAAAAGCAAAGGAAAGATAAGAGATGGCCAAATTACTTTAGTAAATTCGTTTGTGAAACTGCGAAAAGTAAATGAATTACATCGTAAATTACCGCAGACTAAAAGTAATTACATTACAATTACTTCAAAAAAGTAATAAAATTACTTTCACATTTATTTTCAATGCATCGAGTCAGTCATTTGTGCTCTTTTTATTTATAGTATATGTACCAAAAGTCAGGTCTTCCTGTTTTCACCGCAAAAAGCCCCATGCACCACGAACCGAACGATACTGAACGGTCGTTCTGCTGGCCGACACGACATAGGCCTTTAAAATTATAAATAGCTTCTTCTTCAGATGTGACTAAAAAGAGTCGGCTGACCGGTTTTCAGATTCATTCAACAGGGAACGTTGTCAGTTAAAAGGTGGTGTTTCCCTCTAACTCATCGAGAGTGACCAAAAACCTGTGTAAGTACCTTAAGTAGGGCAATGGGAGATCGATCTTACAGTAAATCGTTACATGAAATATTTACCTTACGTAATCTAATCCTATTTTCACAAAAGCACTAGTTAACGTATTCCCGGTCATACCTCTCAAGGAGTATTGTTCCCAAAAACCCGAAAAGGCTAAATTGTTGCGCGTTATCACACAAAGGGGTTGAATATTCACTGGGCGGAAGCGTCGCTACCTAAAGAAATTAATGCCGCGAGCTTACTAAAAACGTGTACTTTCCAATCAAACGGGTAGCGATATCTGCTCGCAGGCTTATTTGCGTATAAAGGTCTCAAAGGAAGGCAGTGAGGCATACTGCGAGCGGTAGCTGTTTTGCTCGATTCCAGTTTTTTCCGGCAGCGAAAATCGCCTTTACTTAACAAGGCCAAGGATACGCATGAAACGTCCGGGGCCTTGACAAGGCGTTTGTTGTTAACTATTTATTCCGGTCGTTACTTCTTCACAATGATCGAAGCTTAGGGTTTGACCTTGCTTGACGCTCTCGAAAGAAGGCTGGAGATCTATTTGTCCTGTCCTCTCAAGTTTTAAAATGTGCTGACCTCACTTGTGATGTACCCTTCGCATTTTGGACCCTAAGCCGTTCATCCCTGAGCGGACAGTGGGGTGGAAGCTACGTGCTCGTTGGAACAGTCATGCGCCTATCTTTCGCAACATAACCGGGCTCTCGTTCATACCTGCGAGCAGAGAAAGGGACGGGTCAGGCGATCAAAGGAAGATGGTTGATTGTTTCTTGTGAGCTGGTATAGGTCCCACCCCAATGTCAGATTACGTATGAAAGAAGTATAGTGTCGTCGTGGTGACGTGACGGCAGCGAATCTGCTTGCGTGGGATTCTTGAGCCGTGGTCTTCCAGTCATGTCATTGCACGTAAGCTTTTCTCTTTCGCCTTTCCAGCCGCCTTTGTGCGTCTGTCGAGCTCTTCGTACGAGGATTTGCGTTCAGATGGCTGTCGTTTATTTGCTCTATTGTATGTTTCACGAAATTTC